TTTTTTTCCAACACACAAAAATATTCCTTTCATAATATTTCAGAGCAATCCAGTACTGCCAAATATCCATTTTTTAAAAAGTATAGATCCCTAAGTGGCAATACAATATATCAAAGCCCTGAACAAAAGTGAAATTTCAGCCCACATATTTCAATTTCCAAAACAGCATGATTTCTAGCTACCATAAAGGAGGAAATATGAAGCTCCCAATAGTCTCAATCCTGCCTATCCATGACGGATGATGGAAGCTATAATTCAGTAATACTTATAGGAAGCTATCGGTTCCCCCATCCCGGTATTCTGTAATATTGCTTGATCACCTACAGGTCTGCAATTCTACATCCCCAAGTATATTCAGCCCCAAAGGATGCTAACCAAGAGATAAAGAAAGGCACGGATTTAAAGGTGTCTAATAAACTGTTTAGACCCTTCCGTTGCCTTATAAGGAGTCACATTTTAAGGCACTGGCTCCAATATTTCCTTCTACAAGCCCTCCTTCCAGGTTTATTCAACTAAGAGATGGCTTGACGAAAAGGCACTGCTTCTTTTACAGTCCAGGGACAGGATTAGGGGGAAAATACAATAATGAGCGTGGAGTTCCTATTCCTTGAGGTTGAAAATTAGAGGAAATTATTGAAAAAAAACTCACAAATGACAATAGACTGAGTTCCAGTATAAATAGAATGCAGGCAATGTATTGCAGCATTTTACAAGGCATATCTTCTACATGACTCCATTATACACAGAAGAACGTTATGACGACAATAATCAGTGGCTAACGTCCACAAGTGGCAAGTTAATGCTATATTGTATAGAAGCTAACAACATAAGATGTGTGTATGAATATATACAAGGAAAGAAATTGTATGAAAAATTTGTGCTTTATCTGTGGTTTGTATTACATTTAAATCAGATTACAAAATCAGGAAGTATTGTTTGTTGATAACTTTATCTGCAGGATAACACAGCAGAAAAGACCACTAAAAATTATTTAAAACATTGTAGCAGCTTCCCTACAGGAAAAAGTACAAATGTTGAGGGATGCTAAATGTCAAAGGGATAAATTATAGACAATAAGGCAGATCTGTATAAAATAATAACAACAAAGTATATATTGATTTTCTTTTAAAATACTGCATTTGAATAAGCATTGTGACTAACAGGACCGCTAGCCCAGAAATGGAGAAAATACAATTTCACACAATGCATGAAATATTTGTGGGGAAATATACTCACGAGATGTGAACATATAAAACTGAATAATCATGGGGAAGATAGAAGGATAATTCTGGGCCTAGGGGAAAAAAATAAAGAACACAGTTCCCCTCATTTTGTTCTAATCAGATTCAAACCCAGCATAAAGTAATGAAAATAAATTTTCCATAAAGTCTCCTGCACCAAAACTGTAGATTCACACAAACATGTCAAAATATTTATCAACACAAAAATCTGAGTGTGACATTCAGTTCTAACATAATCTTTTCCCCAATATCTTCAATATATATATATATATATATATATATATATATATATATATATATGTATATGTATATGTATATGTATATGTATATGTATATGTATATGTATATGTATATGTATATATATGTATATGTATATGTATATATGTATATATATAGGTATATATATATAGGTATGTATGTATGTATGTATGTATGTATGTATTCTTTCATGGAAATCATGCAATTTCTTCCTCAAAACAAGCACAGGAGGAAATAAATCGAGACTACTTCACAAAGCATAGTGTCCATTCACACATTTCACTACAGCACGTACAAATTTGCCAGCACATAGATATTTTACAAGATCCACATTAAATCCCAGTTCCTTGACTTGCTGTTTCAAATGGATCCTTGGAAACAGAGATAGAGAAAAGCACCTATGAGCTTTTTCACTCTCAGTTTCCCTGGTTATGATCTAGGAACAAACGCAGTTTGGGATTGGAGAGTTTCTGAAGGACAAACAATGACAAGAGGATTGAGGACATGAAGAGATCACAACACGTTCCCAACCTAACATCATAGACTCCTGGGAACTGCTCAGAGTAGTAGTCCCTGCAACTTTGACAACTGAAAAGAGAGTGATTGGCCAAAGTCACCCTGGTAGTTTTGTGCGTAAGGCAGGATTAGAACTCACAGTCTCCTGGTTTCAAGCCTGGCACCTTAATCACTGTACCAAACTGGTTCTCTATAGTCAATATATCTATATATTTTATCCTGAGAATGCAATGAAAGCTTTACCTCTGAATTACAAAGTTTCCCCCCCAAAAAGTGATCGGACAGTGTTTAACAGCTTCAGTTTGTAAACATGGGGAGAGGCCATTCAATCCAATGATTCCCAAGATGACATTAGACAAACATTCATTGATTGTGCTGACCACAACATCTAGGGGCTCAAGGCTAGTATCACTAATGCCAACCCATGATGCCTATTCCAGATGTAGATTACAACAGTTGACATCTAAAATGCCTGGAGGCCACCAGGTACTCTATCTCTGATCTTCTCTGTTTATCTATAATCCTGTAGATTTCAGAACAGGATCTTACCCAACATCTGCTGCTAGATCCCTTTAACTAGAAATGCCCAGGATTCATCCCAAGAACTCCTGCAGGCAAAACAGATGTTTCCCCACTTTGCGGCATTCCCATCCTGACCTTATGAGGCATCTCTCAATTCTATAGCCCCACACTATTCCACACTGCTTCCCCACAGTAATGGGGGGGGGGGAGGAATCCCACGTCAGGAAAAACAAGCACCGAAGATTTACAACTAGTCGTATTCCAGCCATTCCACTACCTTCCTCTTCTCTTTTTAAATATTAAAATACTTGGTTAATTAAATTTGCCAGCTATTAACAAAACATCACATTTGTCCCATTCAGTCCTTTGAAAGTGCCAGTAATTCATAGTTAGGTGTTAATTTGTGCTTTGGTATCTGGCACCCAGCCTGACAGAGAATGGCTCCTTTTCCTGTGGAACTCATTTTTAAATTGCCCTGTTGAGCTAGAATCAGATTCCTAAACAGCCAGGATACAAACCAAGCTGGAGAAATAACTACATCGATGGCTCAGCCATCCAAATTGTAAGCACCCAACTTTTCATTTTAACTCGCCGCAGTCAAAAGACTTCAGTGTGATTTAAATGATGTTTCTCTATCTCTTTTCAGGTTCATCTTCACAACAACCCCAGTAGGTAGCTTCGGCTGAGAGATGCTGAGTGGCTCAAGGTCACCCACTGAGCTCTGCAGATTAGCCAGCATCTCCATTTGCTCTCTGCAAGTTTGCATGCAACAGGTTAAGATAATGGAAGCTAAAAAGGCAGGGGGATTACAGGGAAAAGGACACCTTCAAGTCATGTCCTGTTTTACAATTTCATAATTTCAACAATGTGTTTCCAGCACAAGGCAGTACATTAACAAATTTCCAACCAGGAAATAATCACTGCTATCCAAATGCACCGCACTACAGCCCCACCAGGCTTCATCATTATGAGCAATGATGAGCCAAGTTGAGAATGATGGGACTTGTCATCCAAAATGTCTGAAGAATGTCTGAAATCTCGGAAGGAGATTTCAGAAGCAAAGGTGCAACAATTTTGTATCCAGAAACAGCAGATTACAGCACATCCCACAAATTTCACTGATACGAATTAAGTCCTGAATCAACCAAAGGGACACTTTCTGCATGAAAACCAGGCTGCTTCAGGCCACAGATCACTATGTGGTCTGAGGGATGATGCATAAACTCAGAACTGTTCCACTGAGCTAAACAGGAACTGTTTCCCAGGCAAATGATAAAGGATTTTTATCTTGACTGCACTGTTAAAGGTCACCTCCAAACTATGCAATGCTTATCTCTAGCTATTAGGAACAATAATAATACTGGAAACTGCTAAGCACACAGAGGGTTAGCTAAGTCATCTCAAAGACAAGGAAGATTTCAGACAAAGACTATCTGTACTTCAGTACCTCAACTGTTATACCACACTGTGTATGCAAATTGAAGTCCATGCTTGGAACTTTTCAGAGATAGTAAAACCACTATTCTAATGTATATGCTGTGGACTTTCAGCTCAGCAGCTAAGCACAATATTTGCTCCCAGGCCCTAAAATATCTTAAGTTTTCAATTAATCATAACAACAACAAAAAAAGACAGGTGAGAGGTAATGAGCTGAAGAGAGATACAAAAAGAGAGATTTCTGTGTTTAATTGTATATACTGTTGTTTTGGGAGAGTGATTTTGCATTACTCCTTCTCACATCACACAAGTGGACTCTAAATGACAGAATTAGCGGCAGGCAAGTTTTGATTGGATACACATCAAGGTTCCAATCCTCAGGCACAAAATGACAAGCATCTTTTAAAGGCACATTCATCCCATCAGCTTGATGTCTTGTTTCATGCTAACCATGCGCCCCCCCCCCCCAATACACAACGAGAGCTGGCTGGAAACAGCAGGAATATGGAAGGGGGAGGGAAGTCCCATACCAAAGCAGCTTGAGGCTATTCAGCCAGTGCTATTAATTGCTGCGGCAGGGAGAAAAAAAATTAAAAGCCTCCCAGCGGTGAAGCCTGGCACTATCCAATGTCAGCAGCATACACAAAAATTCAGCATTATCAACTCACTGGGATGCACGGAAGCTTAACTGAACCCCAAAGAAGAGAGCCGGGGTGACTGGACACAGGTACCACTGGATGACCCTTTTCTGTCCGTGTCTGTGTCTGTGTCTGTGTGTGTGTATTAGGGTCAGTGCTGCAGACCAACCGCCCTTTCCCCTTCCCACAACTACACACACACTTGTAGCAAAATCCTTGCACACCGATCAGGCTTGGAAGGCTAAGTCCGACTGCAAGAAACTAGAGAAGTATCCAAGGCTACCGAAGACCGGAAGGGAAGATCGGAAAGTGCCGGGACAGAAAAAACTAACCGCAGAGAAGAACGGACCGATTTGAATCGCAGGAGAGCTGCGATGGGGTTACTCACAGAGCTCGGAGCTTGACCCACATCTTCTTACTGGGAGCAGACTTGAGCTCCAGAGGGGAGGGACAGCCCTCTGGGGACTCCAGCAGTTCGAGGTGCGGGGATTCCATCTCGGGATCTTTAAACGCCAACGGGGAGGGGATGGAGAGAGGGGGAGGAAAGAGAAAGGAATGATGATCTCTTTCCCAAAACGGAACCCGCTTGCACCTCCCGCCCCACGGCAATCTTCGGAACCCCCCCACCACCACCATCAACAATCCTCTGACTACGAGCGCCCTCTCCTCCTTACCCCCCTCACCCCCCAATCACCCCGCCTGCGCGCTCGTTCGCCGTGTTACCGGCTGATTTCTCGGTGCTCATCTCTGTCTCGGGAACTCGCTGCCGGCGCGGGTGTAAAGGCGAGAGGGGCGGGATCGGGCCTGAATCATCCTCCGTTGGGTGACTGGCAGCCGATCCCCCCGCCCCGCCGCTCGCGTGCCAGGCTGGGCGCTCCCCCATCATGGCCTCCCTCAAAGGGGCTGGCGGTTTGGAAGCGCCCCCTCTTCTGGAGCCAGGCTTCCCTGATCCACCTCTCTCCTTCCGCAGCACCCACGCGTGGATCCGCGGGGAAGAGAAAAAAACCCGCTGCCACCACTGCTCCTCGTCGCCGGATGGAGGGGGTCTAGATCCGCCTCCCCAAATCCTCTCCCCCTTCGCGGATGCCTAGAAGTGTCCCGGGCTTGGAATGGAAGCTAAAATGGCCCGCCGGCCACCTCCTTCCCTTGCCGCAGCGAGTGCCCGCTATCCCCGCGCCCAGATCCACCGCCCGATTGATTGCAAGGGCCGGCCTTGCAGCCCCGAGTGCTGGCAGCTCGCTCTGCTAGCAGTTACCCGGATCTGCTCGCCCTTTCTGCCGCGGGAGACCCCGGTGCGCCGTCCCAACACCGAGCGATCCTGTCAAAGGTGGCGCGGCGGTGGCTCCTGCTGCTGCTTCCTCCGAGCGCATCCGGATTCCTAAAGCTGATCGCTCGCAGCGCAACTTTCAGCGAGGGAGCAACGCCACGGCGGCGCCGGCGGGCGGCTGGTCCGCTGGTCCCTGTTGCGGCAGGTGCGACGCGGCGGCGCCTGCTGCGCTGCTACAGGAGAGGGAGAGAGGCTGGCCGAACAAAGGGGAGGGCAGGGAGGGAGTAACCAGAGCGCCACCCAATTGGCTGGTTGGTCCGGTTTTCGGGGACAGTGCGCTTCCCCGCGCGAGCCAGGTTGTTTTCGAGGCCAGCGGCCGGCCCGTTGCGACAGATTCTCTGAGCGCGTGCAGAGGAGCCCGAAGGAAGAAGAAACAGACGCTTACAAATACGCAGGACGTTTTGCTCCCTTCCGTTTTGCTCTTCAGTAGCCGTTCCCGAAAGAAATAGAGCGCGTAATTCTGGAGGCAGCGAATATCCACCGAGAGTAGCTAACGCTGATAGTTTGATCTGATTTCTCCTTGAATCTAATCTGGTCTTCTTGATCGCTCTAAATGACAGCCTTTTACAAAAATAAAAAATAAAAATAGATACTTCCAGTTTATCAATCATAAAACTCTAAGCATTTAGCTTTTATGGTTTCAGGTTTTATATATATTACTTCTGATCTTGTGAAGGAGGAAAAACTCTCCACTTTTTCAAGTCACGGCAGGTGGCAGCACCCGGCCAACCCAATTGCTCTTGCAAAAACAAACAAACAAACAAACAAAAAACCCAACAGTCCCTGATTTATTTAGCCCTTGAATGGGAGACCACCAGGAAATGCCAGGGTTGTAGACCAGATCAAGAAATCAGGAACAAACAACCCTTCATAAGAAGGCAATGAGAAACCGCTTCTGTATTGTTGGCAAGTAAAATGACACTAAGCCAGCCGTATCAAAGCAGTTAGCAGAAGTCAAATTCAACAGTCTCATGCTAGAGACCGCCATCTGTAGCTTCTACCAAATCTTTTTAACTTGAGCTATTTTTAAGCCCCAGCTGAGCTCCAGATGGTAAGAAGTAGAGGGGAAAAAACCACTAAGCATCTGCAAAGTGCCTGTCATTGCTGCCATCACTTCAGTTAAAACACATGTCCAGAGGTGAGGATTATTTGCTTTAAGAGCTATGCATATCCCCTTGGCTTTCCTCAACCTCATGTCTGCAGAGGGATGTGTCCACATGTCATCACCAATCTCTACTAGGGAGGCTTTCTCTACAGTATCTCTATCACATTTGGAAAAAATATTCAAATGCCATGGTGTGTTTATGCCTACAAAGAGCAGCATCGTGCAAAAAATGGTGCTTCTTGTGACACACCATGAAAGAGAAAGTTGGATTTTGAAGAAGCAGGATAGGAAGAGTATTGATGCTTTTGAACTTTAATGTTGGGGGGGGGGATTCCAAAGAATGGATCATTAAAGAAATCAGCCCAGAGTTCTCACTGGAGGCACCAATGATCAGGCTGTAATTATTTTACTTAGGATACATTAAATGAAGACACAGCTCTCTGGAAACTGCTCTAATGCTGGGAAAGGTGGATGGAAAGAGAAGAGGATCCCTAGCAGCAAAGATGGATGGAGTCAATTACAGTGATGATGGCTGTACCACTGGATGTCCTGAAAGAGCAGATTAGGGACCAATCATTATGGAGAAAATGTGGTCTCTAAGGGTTGACAAAGACTCAATGGAATCAATCAATCAATCAATCATGTTTCTACTTACACATCTTAACCTCAGGAGATGTACATGTAGTCCTCAATTTACGACCCCAATTGAGCCCAAAATTTCTGTTGCTGAGACATTTCTTGAGTGAGTTTTGCCTCATTTTATGACCTTTCTTGCCACAGCTGTTACCTGAATCCCTGCAGTTGTTAAGTTAGTAACACCGTTGTCAAGGGAATGGCTTTGCGAAAGTCGCAAAAGAGGATCACATGAGCCCAGGACACTTCAACCGTCATAAATTTGAGACAGTTGCCAAGCATCTGAATTTTGATTGCATGACCATGGGGATGCTGCCAAGGTTGTAAGTGTGAAAACAGTCATAAGTCACTTTTTTCAGTGCCGTTGTAACTTTGAATGGTCACTAAATAAATTGTTGTAAGTCGAGGACTGTACTCTTTTCTCATAGGGAAGCTACTTCAATCTGCTAATTTAGTTGCCCACTTTGGTACCTTTCCCAACTCTGCAGGTCCATTTCTCACGTATGGTGACCAAAAATGTACACAGCATTATAGGTGTAATATGACTACAGGTGTAATAAGTGGATAAATTGTTTGGATTAGGGCTGAAGGAGGTGCTGATTTACTTTGAAGCTGACTGCATAACCTTGAGCCTTTGGTGTTAACTATCTCTGTAAGGGGAGTTAGAGAGCCAGTTTGTGGTTAAGGCACCAACTAGAAATTAGGAAGCTATGAGTTCTAGTCCCACCTTAGGCATGAAAGCCAGCTGGGCGACTTTGGGCCAGTCATTTTCTCTCAGCCCAACCCACCTCAAAGATCGTTGTTGTGGGGAAAGGAAGGAGTATTGGGTATGTTTGCCACTTTGGGTTATTTATAAAAATAATACAGATGGGAAATAAATATTTTTTTTAAAAAAAGAGGCAGAGGACCTTTCCTTCAGCATCATGGAAAAAATACATGGGAGTAAGAGGCTATATATACAGGTAATCCTCACTTAATGACTACAACTGGGACTGGCAACTCTATCACTAAGCTATGCAGTTGGTAAGCAAAACATCACCTGTCCGTGCTGGACTTATATCAGTTTTGCTATGGTCATTAAGTGAACTACCCATGGTTGTTAAGCAAGACATCACACTTGACCGCAACTTGTGATTTTCCCGCTGGTTTCTCCATTAATTTTGCTTGTTGGAAGCCAGCTATAAAACTCACGTCTATCATGTAAACATGGAATGCTGTGATGGTCATGACCACAGGCGCACTGCAATGATTGTAACTTCAAGGACTGGCCTTGCTCTTCCAGCATCATCATAACATCAAACAGTCACTAATCAGGCAGTCATTAACTGAGGACTATCTATATTTAGAGATACACAGAAGAAATTCTGGTAGTTGGCTGGCTCAATAGCTTCACTGAAAAATGTTACATCTGGCAAAAGGCAGACCGATTGATATTACAGTTTTCAGGATACCTGTTAAAACAGTGGTTCTCAACCTGTGGGTCGGGACCCCATTTGGGGTCAAACGACCATTTCATGGGGGTCGCCAAACAAGGCTGTCCGCCATTTTTTCCCCCTTTTCTTTGGTCACGCCCCTGGCACCCAGTGATGTATAAGTGGTTGGGGGTCACCACAACATGGGGAACTGTATTATGGGGTCGCGGCATTAGAAAGGTTGAGAACCACTGTGTTAAAAGATCCTCAGATGTATGAATACTGATCGAAGACAAGTCTTATTTGGTCCTCAGCTTTCACTCCTAGCGCTAGACTAGTGATGCAAAATCCAGAAACCTCTGATTCACCAATATCTACAGAATTGAGGAAGATGCCAAAAACTAGACACCACTTCTTCTTCTTCTTCTTCTTCTTCTTCTTCTTCTTCTTCTTCTTCTTCTTCTTCTTCTTCTTCTTCTTCTTCTTCTTCTTCTTCTTCTTCTTCTTCTTCTTCTTCTTCTTCTTCTTCTTCTTCTTCTTCTTCTTCTTTTCGCTTTGAATTACAGCCATACCCCCCCCTTTTTCCCCTTGCTTAAAACCCTAAACATCTTTCTGCAATACTTCCTGGCTATGCTCACACTATGATGAAGAGAGCTTCCAAGCGATGCTTGATAAAGACACCGGTCCTTTGCTTCTCACCATGACCCTATCATCCTTGGTGCTTTACCTACCATTATGATTAATGGCTACTGATGGAACTGTTCTCTTGTCTTTTGCTCCTTTTTGTAACAAGTATATTCTTTCCCAGAATATACAACAGGTAGAGTAAAACGAGGCTAGATACAGAAAAATCATTATTATCTCAGTCTTCTAAAAAACGACCCAATACTGTTTTTTTAAAAAACACTGCTGAAGATTATTTTAAAAATGCAATACATAAATTTCAAACCAATTTCTATTCTGGTATTTTGCAGGCAGTCACAGTTTCCCCACAACTCTTGTTTTGTGCAGTTTGCCCCAACACTGGGTGAGTGGCAAATGAAAAAAGTGAGCCACCAGGAGCTGTGTAAGGCAGGCAGCACAGAAGTTATGCAACATAAATTGCTTATAAAAATAAGCATGGAAAATGCAAGTTATGAGTTATCTATCCCAGTTTTAAATAGTTATGTAGAACAAGAACTTTCATTAACTGCCTGCCCTGGCCTAGTTAGATGCAAGCAAATGCCAACATTCTGGTATTAGGCATTTTGAAAATATTCACAGACCTGGTCAGAATATACATGTTGACACATGTTCTAACTTTAAAAAACACTAATGCTACTAAATCTGCATAGGTATCCAACTGCCAAGAAAGAAAGAAAAAATCCAGCTAGAGTCATGACTATTAAAATCCTTTAAAGTTTGGGATGAAGAAATATAGAAACACCTTGAAAGGAATAACAGAATAACAGAGTCAGAAGAGACCTTGGAGGTCTTCTAGTCCAACCCCCTGCTCAAGCAGGAGACCCTATACCAGAGATAGGCAACCTTGGCTCTTTTATGACTTGTGGACTTCAATAGCCAGAATCCCTGAACCAGCCATGCTGACTCAGGAATTCTGGAAGTTGAAGTCCACAAGTTATAAAAGAGCCAAGGTTGCCTATCCCTGCCCTATACCATCTCAGACAAATGGCTGCCCAGTCTCTTTTTAAAACCTCCAGTGATGAGACACCCACAACTTCTTAAGGCAAGCCATTCCAGTGATTGATTGTTCTCCCTGTCAGGAAATTTCTCCTTAGTTCTAAGTTGCTTCTCTCCTTGATTAGTTTCCATCCATTGTTTCTTGTCTTGCCTTCTGGTGCTTTGGAAAATAACTTGACCTCCTCTTCTTTGTGGCAACCCCTGAGATGTTGGAACACTGCTATCATGTCACCCAGTCCTTCTTTTCACTAGACTAGACATACCCAATTCCTGCAACCATTCTTTATATGTTTTAGCTTCCAGTTATCTAATCATCTTTGTTGCTCTTCTCTACACTCTTTCTAGAGTCAAATATTGGAACATTGCTGTCATGTCACCCCAAGTCCTTCTTTTCATTAGACCAGCCGTACCCAATTCCTGCAAGGACCTTTTCCAGTAGCAACAATAAGATTTTGTGGGGTTTCTGGCAGGGAGGCTGTCAAATAATTTCTCTCATTATTGTGTATCTTCTGATGCCCCTAGAAGCAGGTTACCATGATTTTCCAAGAAACGTTATGTTGCCTCACTATTTCAAAAGGACAAATAGTCCTTGACTTATGGCCACGACTGAGCCCAAAATTTCCATGGCTAAGCCAGGCAGTTGTTAAGTGAGCTTTGCCCCATTTTACAACCCTTGTCCCAGTTGTTAAACGATACACTGTGGTTGTTAAGTGAATCATGCAGTCGTTAAATGAACCTGGCTTTCTCCCATTGACTTTGCTTGTTAGGAAACCAGCTGGGAAGGTTATAAAGGATGATCACTTGTCCCCAGGACAGTGCAGCTGTCATAAATACACGCCAGTTGCCAAATGCCCAAATTTTGATCACATGACCATGAGGA